CAAAAAACAATGCTGTATACGAACGAGAATTACTAAACACGTTTTTCTATATATCTTTCTTTTCTTTCTTTGCTTTAACAGTACGAGACTGTACATTACACAGCGTCATAGCAGAAAGGAAAAAACATTGTACTTCTCTTTTTGATAAAAAAGACATATGTTTGAAAATAGAAGAGTGAATTGCAACCGACGAAACTCTCCTGATTTGTGTTCTAGTGGCAAGTTCCGAATAAAACCCGAATTTTTTTTGCTTTGACCCAACCCGAATCAATATTTTGTACTTTAACCCGAAGGCGACCCGACCCGAACCAATATTTTTTACATTGACCCGAACCCGACCCGACCCGTTTCGGTCTCTGATGCCTATACTTTAGAGGGCTGGTTTGAGACGTCGCGCTTGACAGATTTTTAACTTCGAAATTGATCAAACACTACTTTTCTATTCAGTTTTTAACGCTGAATCCGAAAAAATTGTTTGAAGGCTTTAAAACAATCTAGAGTCGTGAAAGAACATGATAAAAAACGTTTTTTTGTGTTTTCTCCCACGAAGATCGAGTTGTAGAGAGTTGTGTGTAGCAGATGAAAATTAGGTAATTTGCCACAAAACTATCACTAGGCTCAAATTTGAGAAACGATTCCTTCAAAATAAGCAACTGGAAAATAGCGAAAAAAGTGCGTTTTCTGATTGTTCATTGTAAAGGTAATGTTTCTCAAACTTGAGCCTAGTGATAGTTTTGTGGCAAATTTAATTTCCTAATTTTCATCCGCTACACACAATTCTCTACAACTCGATCCTCTTGGCGAAAAACATAAAATTGTCTTTTATCATGAAGTCCGGCTTTTAGAAGCCCGGCTGCAGCATATGCTTTTAAAGAAAGGAAATTTACTATAATCCATGTTCCCAGCTAGAGTCGCAGAAATCCTTCCTTCATAGAGAAAATGTTAATTAATTATTGTTTGCGAACTACCTGCTATCGGTAATGTTTGTCCGTTAACGGTTAAGCTACGGTAATCGTCACCGTTCAATCCCTAGGGTCTATTAGCATCTAGACATATGTGTTAACTTCATCTTACGTGCTATACAAGCTCTCTGGCATTCGATTCGACAGAGAATTCCTGTGAATGCGAAATGTTGCAAATATCAAATCAAAACCATCACCATACTGAAGAGCAAATACTGTCTGGAAAGACGAGAATCGTTCTCGTGGTACAGCAGTGCTAGGATCTGATACATATTTTGGCGCTTATAGCAAAACTCTTGAAACTTTTGGTAATCACATCGCCTAAAGTCACGAAGCATTTCATTTTGATTAGAAATGTTATTAACTACAATATAACTATAATATTAGCATGCTTGAAAATATTTCTTACTTCGGCTGATGTCAACTCAGCTCGCCGAGAAGCCAGTTTTTCAAAGCGTTATAAAACTTTCTAAAAATCCTCGACAAAGTTCAGATGATTATGGAGTTTGATAGTAGATCCCTTGCTAACGCTATTCTACATATTTTACAAAAAAATTGTATTTCTAGAAAGTGAGTGGAGTTCAACAACTGGTTCACAAAGATATGTATACTTGTTGACATAATGCTCTTACTTCGCTTTTATTGCTAACCTTTGGCGATGTTGTGATACCTCATGATTTTTCATGTAATCTTGAAGCCAGACATGGTTTTCTGGAAATATTTCCTTTGCTATAGTGATAGCTTTCTCGTAATTAATCACTGCTTTTTCATAATCACATTTGCTATAGTACCAACCTCCGATATTATTATAGATTGCTGAGCAATCCTGTTTAGCTTCTAATGAGTCATCTCTGGAAGCATGTTCAAGTGCTTCTTCATAATCTTTTAGTGCCTCATCATAGTTTCCACATTTATGATGTACAAGTCCACGATTATTATACGATTTGATAAGTGATGAGTGACGGGCTGGTAAACCTTTTAGAACAATTCTATGAATATTTTTATAATAAGAACGTGCAATTTGTTGGTTAGTACCTTTCAACTGTTCGCAAGATGTTTTTCGTCTTAGGCAAATATCATCGGACAACGGAGAATATGATTTTGATATTTTCGTCTTTTCAAAATATAGAAAAGCTAGATGAGGCTGATTCATTTTATAATACAATATTCCAAGATTATTATAAATAATATCTTTTTGTTCTTCATCATCTGGCATACAATCGTTTAATGCTTTAGTGTAATATTTTACAGCTTTATCACTTTCACCTAATTCTAATAAAATATTTGCTAATGTTAGCAGTGTACATGTTCGGCAAAGTGTTCGTTTAGAATATTTATTAGTTCGATGGATGTTTCCTTCGTTTCTGTTGTCAATTTTAAATTAACATGCCATCTATTTTCATCCTTGTTTTTCTCAACAGAAATAATACGCCATATTGTACCAATCAAAAATAGAACTTCTCCTTCATCTTCATGACAACTTAACTTAGTAATATCAACAAATGACTCTCTTTGATGGTTTGTGTTAATATCCAATTCAAACAGCACCGTTTCATATCCTAAACGTAGACAACCATCGCCTGCGTAACTTCGAGCAACATCAATATCACTGGTAGCAGATAAAAATCCATTCATTGAAATAAGTTGATCGATACTGTTCTTTAATTTATATATAACCGTAGAAAAAAGCTTTTTTCCTCTATAGAGTTTTAACGACGTTGGTTCATTTATCTTTTGATTCGTAATTTCTTCTGATAACTGTTTGTGAAGATCGCTAATAAATAATCGAAATATAAAGATTTTGTCAATGTCTTCACTTCGAAATGCTTTATTCATTAAACGGAATAAAAACGTATCAGCAGTATACCACCAAATAGCTTTTTTCGATTTATAGTCTTCTTCAAAACTAGAAATTTTTCGCAATTCGATTTCATTGTCTTGATAATATGTTTGACATTCTTCTATCATTTCATATTTGGCATCGTCTGTATGAACAATATGCAAAAGAATTTTAATTAGTAACTGGAACCATATGAAAGCAATTGATTCCTTACTAACATTTCGGATAGAATTTTCTTTTATATTCGAACTAAACATACTGAATGGTGGTAGAAATATTTTGACTTCTGATATTCTACTACAGTTGTTTGATATTTCTTTATTGTTCTGATTATCTAGTTCTTTAGCTAAGATCGAATATAGTGTACTGTCATACTCGGTAAACATTTCACAACTGTTTTTGTGCGCATCCATCCACTTTTCGTAATGATTGTCATCATCATGGTGTTTTTTTTGAATATACATTTTATGTACAATATCCTGTTCACCAATACAATCAACAATACATGTATCTAACGAATGTGTTATGATACATATTATTTTTTGATTAATATCCGATTTTTTCCATTCACCGATAAAGCCTATCAATTCGACACGATCACTAATAAATACTTTTAATGTCTTGAAAATACTATTGAGATTTTTTTCAATATCAGGATAGTCTGGCATTATTTTGAATTCACGGAACCATAGGCAAATAAATGCTTGGGGATTTGTTTCTTCGTATGTGTCCAGCATTGGTTGATCTATAGGCCATCTAAAATAATCAATAAAAAGATGTACTATCCTCGTGAACATGACGACGTACTTGAATATTTGTTTTTTAACATCTTCTTTTAAAAGTTCATAAACCTGGTGAAAAGGTTTACGGAAATTAGGGTTTTTAGGCTGTTTACACCTATTATTAAGAAATTAACAATTTAATCAGAAAACATCAGAACAAGTTAAAACTTCAGAATGTGCTTAACTTTACCTGTAAATCAGTAATACTGATTATGCAGTCAGAAAGTTGAAAAACCATGTTTTGGGCTAAAAGTTTTCTTGAAATCATTTAGGAAAAACATGCGGTTCTTAGCTTTTATCTAGCTTCCTTACAAATAAGATACAGAATATCCTAAACACTGCACATCCTGACGGTTTCAATTCACTCTCACATCCCTGAATAAAGAAAACATTTTAAATTTAGATAAAAATAGTCCGACAACTTCAGTTTTCTAAAAACTCGGTTTTCTCAAACTTTTGAGTTTTTTTCCCTCAACTGTATCCACACTGGCACCAGATCCTGCGTAATTGATTGTGTGTGATCCATGCGATGTTAAGGTCACTCATCCACTGGCACCACACTCTAAAAAATAAACGTACTTTCGGAAACCAAAAGAGTTTAACATTTAGATTGAAAAACCTATTTGGGTTCTATGGGGATGATGAAAAACCAAAATTGGTTTTCCGGCTGCTGCTAAACGCTACATTATAAAACCAATACGTTCAGGAGACAAAACAAGAAACCGAAGCGATATTTCGGATTCTAAAGTATCGTTTAACGGTATTACTCTTTTAGTAGAATTCCAAAATGGTTTAATAAAATGCAAGTGATTTAAAAAATTTTCGAGTGAGTAAAAATTGGTCGAACTTGGAAAATGAAAATCGAAAAAAAGTGTCGAAAACTTTTTGTCTCTAAATAACTTCAAAAGCACATTGTCAGGTGAAATTTTTGACGCTGATTCCAAATATTACCTTATTTTGGTTTTAGAATGAAGTCTTGAATTACTAAAAATCTCCAAAAACTGAAAAGACAATGTCAGTCGGTTGTCTTGTTTTCAACTTTTCAAACTGTTCCAGTGGTTCAAACTGTTCTCTCAATCAAAATATATATAGCTTTTCTGTTCTGTGATGTAATGTCTCTCTTAATTCTCTCTATAACTCATCACAGAGTATGCAGGCTTTGGTCGCTGATCAAGGATATAAGCTGTATGGGTTGA